TTCATTTGGAGTATTGCTTCTCCAATACATGCCAAAACCCTCTCCTGATGTAAAAACGGATCCCATGGCCTCGGTTAATCGGGTTATTGTGCCAACAAAAAACTTGTTGAAACCATTTGCAATCTTCGAATAACAATGCAGCGACATGTTATCTACTTTAATATTCCTAGGAAGCACTTTTTTCCCTGGTATTAATCTAGTTAATGTCCTCCAAAAGGACTTGGGGTCTCCCCATTCAACCATGGGCAATCAATTCCTCTTACCCGTTTATTTATCACTGGTGCGTGACGATCAGCAACAGAAATAAATGCAGATTTAAAGTTTAACTACATTCGATCAATCACACTTAAATTCGCATTCGGTCTTTCTGGCAAAATCGAATTCATTTGCTTCTCCCAATCGATCCCTCGTAGGTCATTACAAAAAGCCGAGCTATTATATCTTACATAATTTCTAAAAGACTTAGTCTGTCCAGATGATCGCTTACAATTCATTTTTCTGATACAATATACTAAGTCATGGTCACTAAGACAAGCATTAAGTACTCCAGATTTACTAATAAACCTTTCGTTGTTTGTCGCTATCAAATCTAATAATGTGGCGGACCAGGCAGTTATTCTAGTAACCTCCTTGATCAGCTGACAGAACCCTAGACTTCTGAGTGTCGAGGTTAACCGTTTGCCGTTACCATTCAATGAGCCCTTTGCCAAATTACAGTTAAAATCCCCCAACAGAATAACTTCCTTATTATTAGATATGGCTTTCTCAGCACTATCTTCAAAATGATCCATAAATGCATCATTATAGTATCGAGAAGACTCAGGAGGTTGATAAAATGTACCAACCAAAAATCCGCGAGAGTGAGGGAAATTAACTTCTACCCATAGACTTTCAATATTCGACTGCTCTAAATCAAACCTTCTGCTTACCGACAAATCGTTCCTAACATAAATTCCAAGTCCCCCACCTTTCTCTTTAGAACCTCTATCTCTTCTATGGAAAGTATATCCTTCAATACTAACTTCTGAGTCAGCAACATCATCCGTAAGCCAGGTTTCGGACAGTGTAAACAAATCAATTTTTGACTGAACACTAGATATGAGCAAACGAAGCTCATCAATCTTAGGTAACAAGCTGCGAATATTTTGATGGACTATTTTAACACCTGAGCCCCGAAATATATCATTCATTTCCGTTGTCACTTGAGAACAGTAATCATCGTTATCGTTGTTAATATTGCCATTCATTCCTACGAAACATTGCTTGCAGGTTCGGTTTATATCAAAACTCGATTCAAGACATTTCAAATGATTTACTGATTTACATCTTAAACATTCCGCCCGCGGTTGATTTTTGCCTATAGGTTTTAAACACGCAGTGCAGACCAATGTCTCATTCGCAGGGCCAGGGTTTAAGTCAATATCATTACACACAATAAGAACATTAACAGCAGCAAACTGGGTGACAAGTTTAATCGATCTTACCAACTTTACATCGAAAGGAACAGCTGACTTCGCAATGCTGGTTTTGGTTGGTCTCATAGGGGCATCAACAATCTCGATTTTAGTAAGGTTTAAAGCAACGCTAATACCAATATTCCATGGATGCGACCTCTTATCAACATAACCATCTTTAGCGGGATAGAATGACACACAAACAATCAGCAAGACCAAAAAATATATCAATCGCTTCGGGAGCTCATACATAGCCGCCATCTTGGCAAATTACTATGATGGCAAAAAATGTAAAATTTCATGTTCTCTTATACAAAAAATAAACTATACCACTAGAAAGAGCGCAAAAATCTATATATAAGATAATTAAGCGACTAGTGCGATTTTCAAGCCGATTTTGAATTAAAGATGGTTAAAGTTGGAAAAATGGGTACTAATTAGCATTAATTTGGTCATTTCTGCATTTTTTAACATTAAAAACTCGAAATAGGATTGGAAAAACGTAGAACTCACTTAATTGTCTTATATATAGATTTTTACGCTCTTTCTAGTGGTATAGTTTATTTTTCGTATAAGAGAACATGGAATTTTACATTTTTTCCGATCATAGTAATTTAATAGGCAAAATTTAAAAATTCTCAAATTTTTGGCTATAAAGCAAAAATCAGAAGTGGTAACACACACAGTCTTATTCACCAAGGCTTGAACTATAAGAAAATGCCTGTTACCAGCTTCTAACATAAAGTTGCCATCGAACTCTCTTTAGAGGCACTTTTTGCCACCTTGGCCGGCCGACTATAATTTGCATATTGCTGACATATGCAAATTAGGCAAATGCATTAATTAAGCATGCAAATAGCTGATTTTTCGGGAAAATTGTAACTTTGCGTGAATAGTTAAGGGGCTTAAACTAAACCAAATTGTCTGAAATTTTGTACAGTAATTAAAAACCCGACAAATTTTCCATCTGTTAACTCAAAATATGATTGCAGCTTTTAAATTTTGTGCGCGAGCCATTTTTAGTTTGTTGGAAAAGACACACCCCCCTGGTTCACAAAATTTGAGTTCGAGAAATTTTTCTCATTATTCTACATTATAAGTACCCAAAGAGGCTATATATATATATAAAAAACCGGATACAAATAGCTGTTTTGCGAAATTGAGAGCAATTTTAAATCTGTTCAGTTTTTTTTTTACACCCTGTATAATGATAGTTCTATATTGATTATAATTGGTGATATTAACTGCGATGTTATGAAAACCTCACCAGATGCCCATACACGACCAATTAATTAATAAACCTACAAGAGAGACCAACACCTCGGCGACCTTGATTGATTTGGTCTTAATTAATGCTAAAGAAAACATTTCGACGTCTGGTGTAATAGATCTGGGGATGTCTGACCATAGTTTGATTTATGTGGTCAGGAAGTTCACCCTTCCAAAACTTAAACCTAATGTGAAAGAAGTTAGGGATTATAAACATTTTAATGCTGAATATTTTATTGGAGATTTAGCCAGAATGCCTTGGCATGTAATTAATCAATATAATAATCCCAACGAATGCTGGAGGGTATGGAAATCTTTCTTTAATGAGATATTAAATATACATGCGCCGATTCGACATAAGCGAGTAAAGCGGAACTCGGTCCCATGGATTACTCCGGAAATTAAATGTATGATGAGAAACAGAGACTATTATAAAAAATATGCAATAAAACATTCCTCACAGCCACATTGGGAAAGTTTTCAATTTCTGCGGAATAAAGTGAATGTTGAAATGCGAAATGTAAAATCAAAATATTTTCATGATAAAATCACTGATTGCTCTGTAATGAATGACCCTAAAAAGACTTGGAAATTAATTAATTCATTATTGGGAAAGAATAACAAATCCAACAATGTGAATGAGTTGCTGGTTGACAGCACGTTAGTTTCGGATCCTAAATCTATTGCAGATGCATTTAATGACTATTTCATTAGTATTGGGTCGAGGCTAGCAGCAGAATATGTAGACGAGTCCTGTAGTAATGTTGATAATCAGCCCATAAACTATAATATTAATCAATCCTTAGATACTTTTTTAAAGTATCTCCAATATCCGTTGATAGTGTTGCCTCGACCCTAAGAGGCCTAAAAGCATGTAAAGCAACAGGTCTTGATAAAATTCCTGCTAAAATTCTAAAATTATCTGCAAACATAATTGCACCCTCGTTGACATTCATCTTCAATCTGTCGCTTGCAACAGGCGTATATATAGATGAATGGAAGCGTGCTCGTGTTACGCCAATATTTAAATCCGGGGATAAAAGACAATGTGAGAACTATCGGCCTATTTCAATTTTACCGGTGGTGAGTAAAGCCTTTGAGAAGGAAGTTTTCCGTCAAGTATATAGATACTTGTCTGAAAGCTCTCTTCTGTCAAAGTTTCAATCTGGATTTCGTCCAAAGCATTCAACTGTAACTGCCCTCATCCAAATGTGTGATGAGTGGCTAGAAAATATGGACAATGGAAAGTTAAATGGGGTTGTGTTCATAGATATCAAAAAGGCATTTGACTCTATAAACCATCGCATTTTGTTAAATAAAATGAATGAGCAATTTGGAATTTTTGCTGTAGAATTAAAATGGTTTGAGTCATATTTAACAAATAGAGAACAGCAATGTAATGTTAATGGAGAATTATCTAGTAATAAAATTATCACCTGTGGAGTGCCCCAGGGATCTATACTGGGACCACTGCTGTTCCTATTATATATTAATGATTTGCCCGATTGTTTGAAATCAACTAATCCATGCATGTACGCGGATGATACTCAAATCTTTTCATCTTCCTACGATGCAAATGAACTTGTTGTAAATTTAAATTCAGATCTTGCCCATGTCTGTAACTGGCTGAAAGAAAATAGGCTGCAGATGCATCCATCAAAATGTAAAATGATGTTTATTGGCTCCCCGTATAATCTTAATAATATAATGTGTGAGGAACCCGTTGTGGCTAATGCAAAACCCATATCACGAATTGCTACACAAATGTGCCTAGGAGTAAAACTAGATGAAACCCTTAATTGGGATATTCACATTGAAATGATATGCAAGAAGGCGAGCGCTGCTATTGGCGCTATGAAACGTATAAAGCCCTTTGTTCCAATGCATACCTTAGAATCGATTTATAAAAGTCTTGTGCAGCCCTACTTTGATTATTGTTCCCCCTTTCGAACACTTGTGGTAAGTTGCTAAGAGACAAGTTGCAAAGATTTCAGTCTCGTGCAGCAAGAGTCCTAACGGGTGCTAATTATGATACTCGCTCAGCTGATCTTCTCAACATGCTTTCTTGGGATACACTTGAAAATAGGCGGTCTGGTGCCAAGTCAGTATTAATGTATAAAATACTTAACGACCACACTGCGCCAGGTCTCCAGGGGTCATTCGTGAGAAGAGAAATAGATCAAACTAATTATCATCTTCGAAACACAGCAACTGATCTAACAATTCCTAAACCGAAACGAGAATTTCTTAAAAAAAGTTTTAAATATAGCGGCGCTATGCTCTGGAATCAACTCCCAAACGAAGCAAAATTGGCCGAGTCGCCTCATTCGTTTAAATCAGTTGTTGGACAGCGACATGCTTCCTAATTATTTGTATATAGTAACGTGTACAGTATGTGTGTACTAATATTTAGTTTAAATTTTCCTTTTAATGATTTTTAAGATCTAAACACGCCCCCAATGGAAACCAGCCTAGAGTTGATGGGGCTAGCGTGTTCTTCTTTCTGTTAATTTTAAATAAAGTATTACCTACCTACCTACACCGAGGTCTTAAATTCGGCTCCTATTTTTTTTCTTCTTGTTTTTTTGGGGTTTTTTTTGTTTTCCATTTGTGTCGAGCCGCGCGCGTAGTCGAAGATCGAAGAGCCTGCGGAGGAGACGACAACGTCCGGTAAATAAGTGTTCTTCCGGAAAATTTCAAACATCGGCCAAAGCGAAAAGCAACCCGAAGCTGTCCTTGCACAAAATCCGAAGATGTGATAATTTTATAAACCAGAAGATGTGATAATTTTGACATACATGTTTAGCTGAGTATATGTTGATATAATGCACAATACTTCGTATGCATAGCATGGGAATACCGCGGCCAACTTTCACTTGTTATCTATTATAATTACTGACCCGAATCAAAAGTAATTATTTTTGGCTGGAAGACTACTGTACGTTGCTGCTTGTCGGGACCGTATGACAATGAACCTATCCAACGTTACACTAGACATTTGTGAGGACATGCATATAGACATAACCATAGGCACTGTAGTACATTGTGATAGAACAGATTTCAGTTTAATTAATCGCCCTAAAATCCTAAATTAAAATCTCCACAAGCGGAGGTCAATTATAGTGTTCTAATTTACATATTATCATTAATGATAAGGTTTACTCAAATAGCGTATTGGATAAACACGGGAATAGAACTTATGGTGTATTCTGCACATGCGTATATCTAGGATAAAATCCCACAAGCGCAAACGAAACTATTTCTCTATAAAACTGAACTGAAAAGACTCACAGCGACCGTTTCCAACAGTGCTTCAGACACCCGACGACACAACAGGTGGGAAATTTGTCGTCGCTGACCAAAAAATTGCGGGCAGAAACAAAGCTCATTGCATTTACATTCAAACCAAAGCAGAAAGTTAGCAAGAAGCTGTTTTAGCTGACGATTTTTTGCTTTCCCTTCAACGATTTACAAATTATTGGTTATTCTTTTAAAAGTCGATCATGAATTCTTTGTTTTGGGATGATTGTTTTGTAATCGAGTGATTGGAAGAAGTTAATATGGCGGCGTGAACATGGGAGTAAATACCGTATACGTCGATCTATGGCTTGTTTAAAACCGTAATAAACGAAGAAAGACGTGATTTGAGAATGAAATGTAAGTTGAAATTAACTTTATATGCCTCAAATTTTCCATCCTATGTTTCTTAATGTAACTTCAGCTGTCTAAGTTCAAAATACAAGCTCGCAAAATTTGACAAATTTTGAAAATATGTAAAAATAGCTTGACTTTGAACTGTATTTTCTCAAAAATAGCCCGTGGCCTCAATTTCAAATATAGCTAAATGAAAAGAAAAAGTTTTCGGCGTTTGTAGGTATCAAACATATCGTCAGGAAAATAAGGGCTCACAATGTTTTAGTTCAGTCTTTGAGACCCAGTTGCTTCGCATGTGTTGTGGTCAAATTTTTGCCAAGAATCAAAGACCAAAATGTGAACTTCCTTCATGAAAACCGCTTCAAGAAGGGTCTAGTTTGAAAATTTAGCTATTAATTTCGATTTCATGAGCATATTTTGGTTACACGTTAAGTATTTTTGTGCTTGATGCGATTCAAAATTTGTTGTATATTCAAGCCCGGCTTTTGTGTAATTTTGGTGATGACCGGGACAGAAATAAAGATATTTTAAAAACTGGCCGTGGCCTCACGATAAAACTTTCTACAAATGTTCTCTGTTTCATGTACTTTTATTTGATATCTTAGGTATAAGCGTAAAAATAGGGGCTCATACAGTTTAAGAGGTTGTAAAATGCATGACTTGCCTCTATTTTCATGTAAACATTCGAAATTCTTCGACAGCAAAGTAGCAACTGTTTCAGATCAAATGCACACGGACAAGCCCACCAGAGACAATGGCAGGGTACTGAAATAGAACGTCACTAAAAAGTTCTGTATGATTAATTTATATCATGTCCACTCTTTCAACATAAAACAGTAATTTATTACATAAATGAAAATCCGCCCTTGCTTTACAGTGAGTACTGTCCATGCTTATGTAGCCCGTGTGCAGGCCCACCGAGGGAAGAATAGTGGGCCTGCAAGGAAGATCGGGTGTTTTGTAAAACGCCCCTTTTCGTAACACGCCCCATTAGCGCGTCAATTGTCAAAAAAGAACCAATGACAGCAACCCAAATAGTATTAAACAAACTCGAATTAAAATGTTTCGGGGTTTTCTCTGCGTATTCAGAATGGAAAAATGTGTAAATGGCTATGTTTAACTCCAAAAAGGCAAGCAAACCAGTCAGCTTCAAATCATTGCCCAATTTGCAAGTGCTCATTTTCACTTACGTAATTTCACATTTTCACTTACGTAATTTTGGTAAAGAACTCGACAAAAGAAGAGAGAGTTCAGAGTCCAGATCTTTTCAAACGGCAATTACCATCTTCTGTTTCGCTCTCTCAGAGAGTAAGGCCTTCAAATCGCAAAGTGTTTCGAACAGGCTTACTTGCAACTACCTCTAAATCTTCACCACAAAAATCGCTGTTTTCTTCAGTGTAAGAGCAGAGTCAACATGAACCAAAACATAATTTTCTTAAGGAACATATAAACGTATCAAATTTGTTTGAAATTAACAAAACTCAAGTATTAAAAGGTTTATACTATAATTTACCCCAGTGGCAATGTTGCTATTCTAACACTTCATGACAAGCAATCCCGCTGGCATTACGGCAAAAACATCTCTTCCTTCAAGTAAACAATAAACGATCGGTTCTTGTACTGGTCATTAATCGAAAAAAGTGATCAGATCCAATATTAAGCTTATTGAGAGCTTTTGTGATGAATCACTGATCTAATTATAGAGTCTAACAGCAAACAGCCAATCAGAATGCTGCGTTCGTGTGCGAACACAACAAATACAAAATACCTGGTCTTCCTTGCAGGCCCACTATTCCCTCGGTGGACCTGCATGCAGCTAATGCTTATACAGTAATATACATTATACATAAGTGCATTGTACATACGATTCTATTAAGGTTCTCTTTGAAAGACTTAAACTTTAAACTCTGATTGCGCAAGGGATGATGGATTATTGATCTCTGGCATACTCTGAGTTTAAGGTTTGCTGTAAGCTCCGGTCTTACTGTTTGGAAGAATAACCTTAATTGAACAACCTTAATTGAGCAACCTATATATATATATATATATATAGAAGAACAACCTATATATATATATAGGCGAATGTCAATAAGTATATTGAGTGTCGAATCATAAGAATAGAGTGCTCGATACGAAAGTAGAACAAATAAAAGACAAACTTGAGTTACTTTGTTTAAAACATTTATTCACGACAAATTTGTTTCGTATGGCAAACTAGGCCTGCCACACTCATCAGGTGAATGGTGATATCGCGTATTTACATGATCTTATAACCTATAGGTAACTTGAGCTGTTATATAGAGTTACCTATAGGTTATAAGATCATGTAAATATGTGATATCACCATCCACCTGATGAGTGTGGCAAGCCTAGTTTGCCATACGAAACAAATTTATATATATATAATATATATATATATATAGCCTAAATGCTAAATGCATGTATAAACGTAATTATTTAGAAACATAGTTACTCTAATATTCAGTATTTGTAACTTATTACAGGCAATGCAGTTGTTGCTGCAGTTGGGATAAAGCGAAATGGTCTTTGTACTGTCCAGTCTGATGATGAAGAATTTGTCACGAAAAGAAACTTTAGAAAGCTGATGGATGGCAAGTAAAACAACTATAAGACTGTAGAATTTGTAGATGTAGATAGAGTACTCGACTTTCGTGTTTATATATTGTATTTATATTATTTCAAGAATTACACGGTTTCTAAACCAGGCATGCACATGTACATCTTAACTTTTTTCTATTAACTTATAAAAGGACCTTCTGAACCCCATGTCTCGAGATTTTCTGAACCCCATGTCTCGAGATTTATAATTTTTTGCATGATTTTTGCGGAATTCTATTTTTGAGGGTTCAGAATTTCTGAGACCCTTTTACAATATTGGGGCCAAAAGCCTTCACAAAACCCTTTAGTAAACGGCTTGCAAGGGGTTCAGAAATTCTGAACTCTGTGTCTCAATATTTATAATTTTTGCATGATTTTGCGGAATTCTATGTTGTAGGGTTCAGATTTTCTGAGACCTTTTTACAATATTGGGACCTAAAGCCTTCAGAAATCCTTTTAGTATTTGGCTTGTAAGGGGATCAGAAATTCTGAGCCCCATGTCTCCAGATTTATCATTTTTGCATGATTTTGCAGAATTCTATGTTGCAGGGTTCTGATTTTCTGAGACCTTTTTACACCATTAGGGCCTAAAGCCTTCAGAAATCCTTTTAGTATTTGGCTTGTAAGGGGGTCAGAAATTCTGAGCCCCATGTCTCGAGATTCATCATTGTTGCATGATTTTGCGGAATTCTATGTTGCAGGATTCAGATTTTCTGAGACCTTTTTACAATATTTGGGCCTAAAGCCTTCAGAAATCACTTTCATATTTTGGCTTCTAAGGGGTTCAGAAATTCTGAACTCTGTGTCTCAATATTTATCATTTTTGCATGATTTTGCGGAATTCTATGTTGTAAGGTTCAGATTTTCGGAGACCTTTTTACAATATTGGGGCCAAAAGCCTCCAGAAATCCCTTTAGAAATGGCTTGTAAGGGGGTCAGAAATTCTGAGCCCCATGTCTCCAGATTTATCATTTTTGCATGATTTTGCAGAATTCTATGTTGCAGGGTTCAGATTTTCTGAGACCTTTTTACAATATTGGGACCTAAAGCCTTCAGAAATTACTTTCGTATTTTGGCTTGTAAGGGGGTCAGAAATTCTGAGCCCCATGTCTCAATATTTATAATTTTTGCATGATTTTGCGGAATTCTATGTTGTAGGGTTCAGATTTTTTGAGACCCTTTTACAATATTGGGACCAAAAGCCTTCAAAAAACCCTTTAGTAAATGGCTTGCAAGGGGTTCAGAAATTCTGAACTCTGTGTCTTAATATTTATAATTTTTGCATGATTTTGCGGAATTCTATGTTGTAGGGTTCAGATTTTCTGAGACCCTTTTACAATATTGGGGCCAAAAGCCTTCAGAAAACACTTTAGTAAATGGCTTGCAAGGGGTTCAGAAATTCTGAACTCTGTGTCTCAATATTTATAATTTTTGCATGATCTTGCGGAATTCTATGTTGTAGGGTTCAGATTTTCTGAGACCCTTTTACAATATTGGGGCCAAAAGCCTTCAGAGAACCCTTTAGTAAATGGCTTGCAAGGGGTTCAGAAATTCTGAACTCTGTGTCTCAATATTTATAATTTTTGCATGACTTTGCGGAATTCTATGTTGTAGGGTTCAGATTTTCTGAGACCCTTTTACAATATTGGGGCCAAAAGCCTTCAGAGAACCCTTTAGTAAATGGCTTGTAAGGGGGTCAGAAATTCTGAGCCCCATGTCTCCAGATTTAT